TTCCTTATGCATCTCTTGTGGGAAGCTTAATGTATGCTCAAACTTGCACCAAACCAGACATCAGTTTTGCTGTCGGAATGCTGGGTAGGTATCAAAGTCACCCAGGACTTGATCATAGGAAAACTACAAAGAAAGTGTTAAAATACTTGCAAGGAATGAAAGACCACATGTTCACTTATAGGAGATCTGATAACTTGGAAGTCATTGGATATTCAGATTCAGACTTTGTTGGATGTTTGGATACTAGAAATTCCACGTTTGGCTATTTGTTCCTCTTAGTTGGAGGGGCTATATCATGGAAAATTGCGAATCAGCTGGTCATTGCTGCATCTACTATGAAAGCTGAGTTTGTGACATGCTTTGAGGCAACTGTTCAAGGAAATTGGCTGCAGAACTTTATTTCTAAGCTTGAAATTGTCGATAGTATTGCCAAGCCACTGAAACTTTATTGTGACAATTCTGTAGTAGTCTTCTTTTCAAAGAACGACAAGTACTCCAAATGTGCTAAACACAAGGAATTGAAGTACTTTACCGTTAAAGAAGAAGTTCAAAAACAAAAATTGTCAATCGAGCATATTAGCACCAATCTTATGATTGTAGATCCATTAACGAAAGGATTGCCACCAAAGACATTTAATGAGCATGTCGAAAGAATGTGCATTATTGGAAATGATCATTGACGTTATGGAATTTATTTAATTGACATTTTGAGCTCGTTTATATATTGTTTTTGACAAAATATTATTCGTGTCATAATAGTTGATATATGTACATAAATGGATTATATGAATGCAGACAGGGACAGTCTTTTCAAAGACATTATTGAAATGCAGGTATCGAACTTCTCATTACGTGTCATGTTAGGGAGGGACTAATATTGTAGTACATGGAAGGAATTATATCGAAATAATGATGTGAAATCGCCACGACTCTTATTAGTTTTTACTTCAGGATGATGCATTAGTGACCAATGTATGAGGGAATTTTTAGCTTTTCATATGCGCATTATGTTATAGACCACATAACGATATAATATTACATGGACCAAGTGGGAAAATGTAAGATCAATTAATTTGGGCCAAGTAATATTATTAATAAATTAATTAATAGTGGTTAATTATTGTTAAAATTCTATTGGTCCATTGAGAAGTGACAGTTTAATAACTGTCTACTTTGATGGAAAGTTGGTAGTTTTCTTTTATGGCCATGAAACTGTCTCTCTCTGCTTATAAACATGAATAAAGCTCATCAAATTAAAACATTCAATTAAAGAGAGGAAAAGAGAGAGAATGGTTTCTAGATTTTACTAGTTTCTATTTTGCAGGTTTAAATCTTTTAATTATTGCTATGGATCAATATATGTTTCTTGATCAATTAAATCTATATGTGAAAATCACGAGTTCTAAAGATCTTGGTATTAGAGTCATTTAATTGTTTACATAAATTGTTGTTAAAATTAATATATAAAACATTGCCGCCTCGCAACAATATCAAACTTGATGTTAAATTTGATTTACAAGATTGTACACACACACACACACACACACACACACACACACACTAGTGAGATGCACGTGCAATGTACATGCCATGGTGTACTTGACTATGTAATAGCGTGAAAAATATATATATATATTTGAGTGATTCCCTTAATCGCCGTACAACTTTAACTTTGTTTACCAAAATGTTGAGCAGTGGTAGAAGCTCTTCAGTTTGTAGTGGGAATTCTGGAGAAAGCCAGAGAACAGGCCTCAATCCTTTCTTGTACTCATTCTCGTGGCTTCCATCCTTACAGTGATTTCCACTGTCAGAGTTTGTTGATGAAGAAGCTTTGGTGTCCTTTACTTTCCGATGGTTATCCTGCTTTACAAAGACCTCCACAGAGTGCCTTCCAGGTTTATTTTGACTTCTAGAAAATCACTAGCCTTCTTTTCAGAGTACAGAGGACTCCTTGGTGGAACAATTTCTATATCCCCTTCTTGTTTATTTTCTTGTTTTCTCTAGATGCTGACCATCCATTTTTGTTTTTTGCCTATTTTCTCCATTTTTACAACCATTTATATTTTCAATGGGAACATCCCTTTTCTCATAACAACTATGGCGGTGTGGAATAATTCCATTTCTGTTTTCATTGCTTAAATCTGATGAGTCTAACTTAAGTGCAATCTTAAGCTGTCGTTTCTCTTCGTCTATCAATATATCACCAAGTTCCTCACTTCCTACTGCACATTTGCCTCAATTACTGGAGCTCCTGCACCATCCAAAGCTTTCATGACCTCCTTATCTTTGTGCAACACCATGTAAAGTGACCCAAAGGAACTTTTCCGTCCTCAGAACCATCACCAAGGAAAAGAAGAATTTTGAAACCATCAAAACCAGCCAAAATAATATCTGCCCTCAAATTTGTATCCCTCTTTAATGTTCTGTACGTGTCAGAAAGAGCAATTCTCGAAATGAAAGGAATCATTGAGCTCTCAAAATGAAAACTGATCTCCATGTAAAAATCCCTTATCCTTTTCATCGTCCCAATTAACCGAGGTAACCTTCTGCACCATTTTGCCCAAGCCAATGGCTGGTAATGCTGAACCATAATCTTTACAATCCTTTCTTCCCTATTGCAAATTGCCTCCTGGAGTGCACTTCACCCATGTTCATTCTGCAAGTTCCAATCTGCCCCAGCAAGCATAAGCATCTCGATAACAGTGTCATCACCAAATTTGACAGCCAAGTGAAGAGGGATGTCCCAATTAGGAACATCTCTTTGATTAATGACAGCTGAAATGGCATCAGCCTTAGCTTCCTCAGCAAGTGAAACTGATTCAGTGTGAATCTCAGATGGGTCACAAAGCCGTGGGAGGCTTGCAATTATCCTCCTGAGAGCCATATAATCTTTCAAAATTATGGCTTTATGGACAGGGCTATGTGCGTACTTAGAAACTCTCAGGAGTATATTCAAAGCCAACCCACAACTATATTATTCTAGTACCAATATCCAATTCAATCATCTAAGTTACACTAATCAATAAAAACTAAATTCAAAGTCCTGTTCCTAAATCAACCGCACACCGTATGAAGAATAAAATTGTCTGACAGCAACCAAATCAACTCTTCAAACAACTGGTTCAAAAAATGAAACATTCATTCACAAATTCCAAAAATTCCACGATAAAATATTTGAAAACTGAATTAAACCCAATTCTATTACACCCAAAGAGCAACAAAAACTACATAAAGAAATCTCACCTCGTTCTTCTGCAGCCAATGATTGGTGCCTTAACCCACTAGTTCGCCTCGTTATTTCTCTCAGTATATCAAACAAAAAAGGGACGAGAAAATGAAAAAAACAAATATAGATCTTCGTGATCCAATCCACATCAGACAAATGAAAGAAAATACAATGGGGGTGGTGCAAAAGAACCAGAATTAATAAGAAAATCTGAATATGAGAAAATGCATGGGTTGAGAAATGAGAATGACGGATCTCTCCAAACAGCGCGAAGCATTTTTTCTCTCCTTTCCAATTTGAGCGCAATATTTGGAACCCTTGCGAGAGAGCATACAGAGAAGTCTTTTATAAAAGGGGTAAAAAAAAAAGGAAAAAAGAAAGTGACACTAAAAGCTGTTGCTACGGCGGTGACCAAGACAGAGATTTGTTGATTGTCAAGAGAAAAGAGAGAGGGAGAACAATTAGGGTTAAGGCGGAGAAAATAGCAAATCCAATGTTGAGTTGCTTTTCTGTCACTTTTTCCCCAAATGGCTCCGTGCTGCATGGAGCTGGGAGCTCCGTATAGCATGGAGCTGTCTCGCTCCCAGCTCCGTGCAGCATATGGAGACAGCTCAGTGATGCGTACGGAGCCTTCCGTGCAAGCACTGAGACGCCGCGCATGAAAGCCTATAAGCTTCTACTCCCCTCTTGAACTATCTCTGTATATAAACCCAGTTTCGCTTTTTTCATTTTGCTCGTACAAAATCGAATTCGACTTTCTCTAAATTCTAGCTTTCAATGGTAAAGAGTTTGCTCCCAACTGTCAACAAAGTCCTTGTGGAAAAAATATTTCCCCCATCCAAAACCACAGCTGGTATTCTCCTCCCAGAGAAGTCCTCCAAGGTACTGTTGAATTTATATGCCTACTGATTTTTTTCAAAATAAAGCCTTTATTCTCTCTGGTCTTCAGTTGGCTGCTTTTCTTTATCGGAAATGGGCATTAGCTTCGTACTGCATGGACACGACCGTATCTCCGTACTGTTGAATTTATATGCCTATTGATTTTTTTCAAAATAAAGCCTTTATTCTCTCTGGTCTTCAGTTGGCTGCTTTTCTTTATCAGAAATGGGCATTAGCTTCGTACTGCATGGACACGACCGTGTCTCCGTACGGGAGGAGACACGGTCGTGTCTACGTCCAACAGGGAGACTCGGCGTGTCTCCTCCATGGGAGAAGGAGATGGATATTTTGAAAACAGAGATGCAGCGTTTACTTGGGTTAGAGCGATCTGTGGAACATCTTTCGCAGAGTATGGCAAAAATGTTGAAATCCATGGAGCCGCCCAGAAAACTAAGACAACTCTGATATCTCCTAAGGTAGCCAGAAACAGATCGCTAGAAGGAAAAAAACACCCAAAATCTAAACGACATCGTGTTGGTTGACGATCCAATTTGGTGACACCTGTCAAATGCACAGTACATACAAGAGTTTATATATTATTGAAGAGGCCTCCATTCTGAACGGAGAGATGTTCTTTGTTCTGAATGGAAAGGATTCTTTGGGCTTTACGAAGAAATTCTCCGCACTATTTTTTATTTTTATATTAAGTTTTTCCTCTAATCGTATTGTTGTAGAACACTAAACAACAAGATATAATCAGGATCATCACAATGCTTACATACGTTTACAGTCATAGATATTTTAAAGTAAGAAATTGAAAACAGCAATAGTACCTTGTTGAAGAAGATCTGGCCACTGGAGAGCGCGATATAGAGCATAATATAGGCGTAGGTTACAAACCCTTCTCCTACCCATTTACCATTTCGATCCTCCATTGCTGCTCCGTAAGTTAATGCGTTTAAAAATGGAGAAATATTGCGTTGCGTGAGAAAATGGAGAAATATTGCAGTGGAGGTGATGGTTGCGTGAAAAAATGAAGGCATGGAAGGAATTGACGTGAATGTTTTGGAACCACAACACACTTTCAAATGGCTCGACTGACTCAACGCGGCTCGAATGAACATACAATTTATGAACAGTGAAAAGTAAAGTGGCTCTTTTATATAGTAGTGTGTGTGTGTGTGTGTATATATATATATATTTTTGGAAGCTAAGAGTGAACTCCATTCATCATTGTAACAATAGTTAAGGAGAAGTAGACACTTGATTAAACAAAAGTGTCATCATTAGCACAGTAAGGGATACTACATGGAAAATGAGCAAGGAAACATTATGAATGTAAAAGAATAAACAAACTTCTGGCCAAGACATCACAATGTAACATAACTATAAATAATTTACTATTAATAAAGCAGCATATCTTTGTCCAAGACATAAAAATGTAAATATAACTGAGTTTCTATTCTATCCCTTTCCTTTCTATTGGCTTTGTGGTGAGAGAGGCTGTTTCTGAAACAAAACATCAAGCAAAATAGGAAGAGGACGACGATGCATCAGACAGCACCTGCAAGTATTTTACAATAAACTTGATAAAGTTTCAAGTCAACTTTTATTTGAAAACAAACAGTCATATTGATATACCTCGAGTTTGTTTTCAGTAAATGAATCTTTCTAAATGCTCCATGTATCAGCATGGATGCATTGGAACTCTGCAACTGCTTTTGTACTGTGGATTTCAAGGGTGATGGCTCGGAAACAAATTGAGCCAGTAGAGTAACATGCTCAGGCAACCAACTGTAAACAAATTTTGATCATTTTTGTTAATGGAAAAAAATTCAAAAGATTACTTAAACTGTATTATTAGCACACTTAGCATTGTTCTTCAACTGACATAAAACAAAAAAAAGGTTCAGAGTGGAGTACGATTATTTGATATTGGGGCTTAACTCAGGCCAAAAAGATTGAAGTGCAAATAAGTCATACTCATCTTCATTTCTTCTTCATGTTTCATGGGTTCGAGGCTAAACACAGTTGAGGTACGCAAGTCATATGCTAGAGATGAGCCTTAAAACATTAAAAGAACAATATTCCGAGTAGTGCCAAGCCACCCAATCTAAGAATATTGCTATCGAAACTTTACATCATTAAGATACACTTTAGAGGGCCCCTTAGCAGCTGTGTCATTGAATAAAATGAATAATAAATTTGGTGCAACCCTATCATTGCTCGCTCCAAGTAGAAACCTTAAAGCATGTCTAGTCTCTTTGATTACTAATGGTTACTTGTAGAGACATCTTTAATCAAAGCACATATACATAATTGTAACTTAAGTTTATAATATTATAATTTGGAATGCAAATCTTAGAATACACGATCAATACATTAGAACATGGAAGCA